CAATGTTTTTTTAAAATACATATTATCTGCAATTTGACAGACAAAAAATTTGTCCTAAAAGAAAAATTATAGTCAACCTTTTTTTTTTAATTCATGAATAATACATTTTTATTAATGTAGACAAATATAACTAAATAGCTGAATATAATTATGTAATAGTTGTATTACAGAATAATATTTATTAATAATCTGCAATCAATACAAAACTTACCTTGGATTGCATTTATTTCAGTTTTCATGTTTTTTCTGTAAACAAAAAATGTATGTAATTAGTACTATTCACAAAAATATAAAAAACTTAAATATTAAAATATTAATCTACTGAAATGTTACAGATCACATATCAAATTAACAAAGAAAAAATTCATATTTTATATTGATATAACTTTAAATTTTAATAAAATATAATATATTTAGATTATTCAGATTCAGATTATTAAACGGCTAATAAGTTAATTTATGATTATAATCATCAGACAATTTAATATTAAATGTGGAAATCTATTAATAATTTTATTGATCAAATACCTCAAATAATTTTATTTTTCTAAATTTATATTATATCTTATATATCTTATTTTAACCATTTTTAAGATTAAGATATACATTAGTATAAACTACATTAATACAAGTCAACTTTTAAAACATGAAGAAGTTTTTCATGTTTTAAAACTTGTATTATACTACTTATATCTCAAAAATAGGGATAAACTTATTTGATGGAACTAAATGCAAACTTTCGTTACTACAATTAATTAACAAGTGAAACAGTGCTGATAACAATTGCTACACAACTTTCACCATAACTCTAGCAAATCACAATAAATATTTTCAACTACAACTCAGGTTTGGCACACTTATTTAATTTATTGAATGTAGAGATTAATATTAAATAAAAATTCAGTATAAATGAGCATTACATCAAGTGCTGTTTCCAATAGTTAATGTACAAACCATATTTATTTAGAATAGATAAAAAACTTTTTTTATTCATGAATGATCTTATTAGATTTTTCATTTATTTTACTAGATTATAACAACTTAAAATAGCACAATTTACAGAATATAGTAAAAAATGCTTTAATGGAATATGTCATTACTAAAGGTGAAACTCAATCTATTGAATATATTACCAGTAATTTTCTAATGCATTTCTGCTTTATATTTATTATAATGGAAATAATTGCATTACTTGTGCTATACTGTATCTTGTAAAAGCATCCTATGTATATATATTCATCTACTAATTTTGAAAATACAAAACATTAATTTGTTCTTTTTTTACTACATGAAGATCCAGAATCGATATCAGCCATAATAAAATGTGCACACAAAAATAAAGTTAAAATAATAATAATAAAGACATCCACGAACCATACTACAAGTATATTCCACAGACAGTATTGGAAAACAACACACACAAACTGTACTACGACAGAACTATAATTACAGATAAAACAATTTACCACAACAGACCAGACATCACACTCATTGACAAACACAATAAAATCACATACATTATAGACATAGCCATTCCAAACACAACACAATAAAATCACATACATTATAGACATAGCCATTCCAAACACTCACAATGTACAAAACACATGCACTGAAAAAATTAGCAAGTACACAGAACTTGCCCAGGAAATAAGGCATCTGTGGAGGATGGATAGAGTAGTTATTGTACCTGTTATTCTCTCCTGTACAGGTGTGATACCACACACACCACACAAAAGCCTGGGAACATTACAATTAAATAGAAACACATACATCACACTACAGAAGGCCACTATATTTAATACATGTCATATTGTTAGGAAATTCCTGAATATAGACACTGACACACTTATTTAATTTTAGTTTTGTTTTGGTTGCTATGCCTTGACTCTGGTCCGGCATAGTACACAGCCACCAGTGTGAACTGAGTAAAACCCACTAAACCCAACATAATAATAATGACAACAACAACAACAACAACAACAACCTCTCGCCAGTCACCGCTTTGCTGTGGTGAGAGAGCTCAGTAATTCTGATGAACCATAGAGCTATGCTAGATGGAGCATCTGCACCTGATAGGGTCAGCCATGTTAGTGAGGTCTATAAGGAGAAATGAAGCCAAGAGTGACTGAACCCACATAATTAGATCTCCACAGATATGTGGAGATCTAACTATGGTGATAACATGATCCAAGTCCAAATAATCTGAGCAATGGCTCCCACATTGCTCAGATTAACAAGGTCCATGCTCATGAGTTAGGCAGAGCTCACATTCAAAAAACATTTTACATTCTTCCTTGGCCACCAGTGGTAAAAGCAGCACTGGTCCAAGTATGGCTATTGTAATACCCACACAAGTTGTGGGAAACCAGACTAACCTTAATTTTCTGAAGCAATCCAACCATAGATCACTCAGGTAGGTAAACCATGCCAACAGATGAAATGGACATTGGAAATGAATAAGTTTATCATCCTTACTTCACCTTTAAAAAACTTAAAACAGACACAATGGAATACAGACAACAGTTACATCATTTGTTTTTACATTATTCTCATCTCACAAAGGGTTGCTGATCAAAAAAGAACAATTATATAAGTCAACTTCAAATTATTCTTCAGAGTCAGTTAAATTTAAAACTTAATGTATATTTGAAAATAAACGTATGTACAATTACAATTAAAGTTCACATATAAGAATTACAAACATTGGATATTAACAAAGTTCAAAGTAATTATCCACTGCAACAGGTCCGTCGAAAAAGCACCTTGCAACGTACAAATTCAAAGTCCACAACAATACAACAAGATGAGGCAATCTTCTAAGACAGCTTAGGCGAACTAAGGTCAGCGTGAGTTCACTTCTTAATGTCCGAAGCAAACTGAACTTCCCGCCAGAACTTCAATGCTTTTATAGGATTGAAACAGCATTGGATTCCACCAATCAGCATTTACCAGCTCTATAAAACGTCCGCCGATGGTCTGATGTCTTTTAACCAATGAGCAGTCGAGTTTTCAAATGATCTGATCGCCGTTTCTATGGCGACAACGGTCGTTCATAAAAAGGCGGGAAAACTGAGTGCCAGACGATTTTTATATCCCGACAATATAAAACAACCTTATACCACAAACAACACTAGAACGTATCAAACAACGAATCACAGAACAATTACATCAACAAACAGATACTCCCAACATCAATAACAATCACATAATCCATCAGAATCATCAAGGTACATGCATTGACAATACTGTTCTTACTACCATTTTCATGATGCTGATAATATCAACACTTCTTCACTGCCTGAAATAGATTCAGGTTTAATTCATACTCTCTCTCTTCTTTTTCAGGAAACACTCACTAAATTTACAGGCACTGATCCTGAACAACAGCCATGCATTCCCAAAATCAACACTTCTAAACTAGTAGGGAAACTCCACATTATGTAAACACTTATGTACACAATTACTGTATTGTACTCATTCTATTTCTACTCTGTCAAACATCCATATACTAGTCTATGCTGGTACAGTCACAGTAGTAACCTACCATGGACTAAAACTATATCCACTTATAAAAGCACACAAATCAAAAACCTTTCAGAAGCCTGCCTGGCAAAGTAGAATAGAAACACAACAATATTAAACAGCAGCTAGACAATATGCAATAACAAAACAACACCTAAATTAATGAAACAACTAAAAAAATTTTCCAAGAAAATTAAAACACACAACAGCATGAACAATACAATCCATCCGCATTGCAGAATACATTGACACACTGAAACAAAAACTTGCAACCAAAGCACAGTAACTCAAATGACACATAATTTGTTCTGCATGAAAACAAACAAAATAAATTATTCACAAACAATTAAAAATTAATACCAAACCCAGTACTGATTCCCAACACAATGGCATGTCAACTGAAGAAGAACGTACAAATTTTTGGTCTTTTCTTTGGTGTACTGCTGTCATGCACAATGTTTAAGCAGACTGGATCAAAGAGGAAAGAAAAGACATGCACAACACACCTAGTATGCATTGTGTTGAAATAAATGCACAAGGCATCCATTACACAATGCAGAAAGCACACAATTAGACAGCACCTGGTGTAGACAACATTCACAATTTCTAGTACAAAAAATTCACAATAGGACGGAGAAATCACTGAGATTGGCATTATATGTGCATTTATTGCAAGTACTTTCGACGATCCTAATGTTGTCATCGTCAGGTGAATACAGAAATTTAATTCTTCCGAGTGTGGAAAAATCTCTCCTCGCAAAGCTGATTAAGAACAAACAAAAGTACCTTGCAGAGGTGGAACTCAAGCTCTATACAACACATCTTCAGTTCACCAAAGCTTGTGACCCATCTTTACTCTATGAGCAGCTCAGTAAAATACAGAACACTGCTTCCAGTTCTACCCAGGCACTACAAAAGAAATTGAACAACAAGCTCCAGTGGTTGGTATGTACATCGAGTAAACAGAGCAAGATGGAGGGAAATATCCCATATTATAACTGTATGGATGAAAATGTGCCTGCCGCAGTGCATAAAATCCTATGAGGACCCAAGTATATTCCTCCTGCCAACATCAATCTATCTCAGTTGATTCCGGCCACATTAGCAGCACTCAAATCTTGCCATAAAACCGTTACATATCCGCAAATGGAAGTGTCAATAATCACGAAGTTTACAGTGACAAAACAAAGATCTGGTAAGCCCAATAGACATGTGAACTACGGGACAGTAATGCACTTCCTTACCAGAGCCAACTTAAGACTTTTAGTCTCTGACAAAGACAAGAAGTTTGTGCTGTGCAGAGAAAACGACTTTCTCCTCAGGGTCAATGAATTTCTTGCACAATCGCATTCCTCAGTGATGAGTGAAGACCCTACACCAGTGTTTCTCAACAGAAGCAATATCGCCCCCATGTGGGTGTTTTTCCATGTTGAGAAGATGATTAGTAACAATTTATATTTTGGAGGGCTGTAAATTTAAATATCATATTCAGACTGTTAAAAAGAATGCCTTTGTTAAAACTGATAAAGTTATTCAAATGTGTAGATCGGCGAAATTGCGAAATTTGAAAGATTGTCTAAGGATTTTCAATTCAATTGTTAAATCATCTATGTTATATGCATCTGAGGTTTGGGGATACCAATATGACGAATTGGATCCGGTTCTGGTTAATTTTATAAAAAAGTTATTTGGTTTGTCTCGTTGCACCCCAAATTATTTGATCTTTATGGAATGTTCGTTATTACCTTTGTCTTTTACATTATTGAATAAATGCTTGAACTGGACTTTTAGGACTATTGCATTGGATGAAAAACGATGGAGTAGAATTTGTTTGTGTTATGTGCTTAATAAGAAAGACTTTCTGTGGTCTAAAAGTCTAAGGGAAATTTGTGTTAATAATGGTATTAATTTTGAGGAATTATTAAATAAGCATGATAGTTGTTCTATTTTGAAATTAAATTATTTTGATAACTTCATTCTGGATTTGAATCAACGAGTTAATGCAAGTTCTTATAATGATTGGTATAAGCACTTAAATAAGTCTTTTTTTGACTGTCCGCTTTATAATAATAATTTTTCTTTTAATATTGGTGCCACAGTAATGCAAATCAGATGTAATTCCCTTAATTTTTTACAGAATTATCGCAGAGAAATTTGCATGTATTGTAAGGATGATCAGCTATTGGATGCTTTTCACGTGATTGCTAAATGCTCTAAGTTAGAAAAAATTCGGGAAAGTGTGTTTGGAACTTCTATTATTCCGTTGGAGAATTTTTTGGAACTTATTACTAATATAAGTAATTTCGATTTAATTAATTTTGTTCAAAAAATTAAATTATTTTTTAGGTAATCTTTGTTGATTTTTTATTTTGTTTTAGTGATCCCTTGTACGGAGTGACGTACATCGTTGTTTATTTTGCATATTGGAGTATTCGTTTTTGCCGAAAGGTGGCATTTGTTTTTTCCTTAAAAGTGTGCTTGTGGCTAAGAAGTGTTGGGAGACTATCCACATTTTGGATAAGATAATTGAATCCTTTTTCTTTTATAGGTGGGTGTAATTAATTTTTTTTTTCTTTATATAATGATGTTTTTGGTTGGATAGTTCTCCCCATGATGAATTTTGTTATTATGTTATATGTTTATATTTGGATATTTGGCTTTCAGATATTTATTTTTGATGTTTTTTGATGTTTATAATAATACTTGTATAATTTTTGTTTTGATTTATGTATATGTTAATTTTCTCTGTAATAATGGATGGATTATGATATTTTTTTGTAATGTACACGTAACGAATTATTGTATACCCCGCATCATGGGCTCTGCCTAGTATGTCTAAATAAATAAATAAATAAATAAATATTTTGGAGGGCAAAAAAACAATTTTCTGGGTGATATAGTAAAACATTAAATTAAGAATAATTAGATATTTTATTCGTTATATCGTACAATTAAATTATAAACAAATTATAATTAAACAAATAACATTATACTAGTCACTAGTCTATTCAATGCAGTATGAATTTGGCATTAGCCTTGGCCCTCGGCATCGGAATTTTGAAGTGAAGGGGGCGATACTATGTTGAAGGGGGCAACGATTCGTTAGAGGTTGAGAAACACTGCCCTACACCAATGATCTTATGGAAGGCAAGGAGAATCATAGCTCTACCAGGTGTTTCCTCAACCTAGCTGGGTCCCTTGACCCCCTCCAATGTTGCATGTCCTAGATTGTTCTTTGAACCAAAATCGCACAAGGCAAAAATGGCCATTACGTCTGCTTGTAAATAAGAGATCTCATCCTACATACTTTTTAGAAAAAGCACTAGCTAAATTCCTTCGCGCATTAATTCCAGATTCTCCATTTGTTACTCCCTCATCTGTTATTGCTAAATCCACCATTGTTCAAGCATTGATACCCTAGAGCCAGACACCTACACATTCTATAAACTAGATGTAATATCCTTATATCCTTCTGCACTCACGTTCAAAGTTTAATGCTTGCCAATTCTCTGCTCTTAAAAAAGGGCTTTAACATCCAATAGATACTTGATATACGTGAGGCATTGTCCTTTGTCACTGATCATAATTATTTCTGATTTAATCAGAGTATCCATTTACAAAAGCAGGGGTACCTATGAGTTCCCCTTTATCAGCTATTCTAGCGGAATTCATCATAAGAGAAATTGAACACAGAATATTCAATTCCCTGCTTGCCATCTACTACCCACGGCTATATTTGCGTTATGTTGATGATATCCTTATAGTGTGGGAAGACACAGACAAAACATTTTTTTTACCTTCATGCAGTATCTCTCAAGTATATATCCTTCCATCAATTTCACTTGGAAGAAAAAAAAAGAGGCAGCAATAACATTCTTAGATTTTCACATATGTAAATCTCCTGAAGGGCCACAATTCTCGGTCACTACAAATCTAATATGGATTACTAAATCTCTAACTGCATTAATTAATTACTACATTTCACTATACCTTTAAAATGCAGTCTACTTTTGTCAGTTCTCTAACGTTTTCGGTCTAATTTATAGACCTTCTTCAGGATTGCTACATTTCACTATACCTTTAAAATGCAGTCTACTTTTGTCAGTTCTCTAACGTTTTCGGTCTAATTTATAGACCTTCTTCAGGATTGATGTAAAATATTTTAAAAATTTGAACTTTCTCAACGGTAATTCGAACCACGCACGTTCTATAATCTTCAGATATTCGATCGCGCATGCCCATTAGCTCTTTATAATGCCGCCGCTCTCCATGCCGTTGCTATTCTACTTGACTCTCGAAAATTTATATTAAGCCCCTTTTCTCTGTATTTATAAATGTGCCATGCCTCTGCATACTTTAGATGTCGTATATTATCGATCTTTTGTACAATATCCGCCTTGCTCCATTCGATTGTAATCTCTGCAGGATCCGCGATAGCATAATTGGCCAAAGCCGTGATCGGTTGTTTAGATCTTATATTTTTTTCGTGCTCCTTCAATCTTTCTCTTAATGATCTCTTTGTGGCTCCTATATAATATAACTCTTTCTTTAGCCTTTTATCATGCAACGGTATTCTGTACACACCTGGAACTAGCCTCCTGTCTATTGGTGTTTTGTCATTTCTTAGCATTTGGAATATTGTCGTGTTTCTCTTATATGCTATTTTCTTTTTGCTCTCTACTCCTATTTTTCTGTATATGCCACTTAACGGTGCTCTGTATTCCATTACGGTGAACTCCTTTTTTTCTTTCTTATCTTTAGTCTTATTGCATCCTTTTTCCGCTTCTTGTATTAAGGCTTTTACTTTACTTTGCTTAAGTCCTACATCTCTTGCTAATTTTGCAATGTAATCAAGTTCTTTACGTGTGTCATACATCCTGCTACAATGAGTGTATGCTCGTTTAATAAGTGCTCTAAACGCTGCTAGTTTGTAGTTTGTTGGGTCATGCGAGGACCATGGTATCAAATCCGGAACGTACGTCGGTTTTCTATACACTTTTGTAACAATTTGCTCTTTATCATCTATTTCGACCTCTATATCCAAGAAGTGTACTCTTTTTTGATCTTGCTGCTCTAGTTCTAATTCCAAGCCATACTTATTGTTGTTTATATCTCTAATAAATTGTCGTATGTCTGGTTTATCATTCCAAATAATCAATACGTCGTCGACGTACCTTGCATACATTATCATTTTATCTTCATACTTCTGCAGTACGCTATTTTCCAGAGATCTTATTACCATCTCGCACAGTAAGCCTGAAACCGGGCTACCCATTGGTACTCCTCTAAGTTGCGAGTATGCAGTACCGTCAAAAACGAAAATTGACGAGAATGTAGCTAAATGCGCCAATTCTAGGATTTGTTTTCTTAACTTCGCTGCGTTGTCGATATTGCCCAGTAAAAAATCTCTTAAGTGACAAAAGCATGGCCTTAAAATCGAGCACCGTCATTTGATAGAAAAACTAATAGAAGTAGAAAATCAACTGTATGAAATAGATCCGGAATTACTTGATAACGTTAATAGCAGAGTAGTAAACTTAGCGGATCAAGTCACAGAAAGGTTGAGTTTGAATTATAAGAAGAAAATGGGATGGATAAGAGCAAAACAACAAAGAAACACAAGACCGCAAACAGTATCGGCAATAGTATGTTGGGATAATGTAGCACCACCAACGTGCGTGAAGGAGGCTTGCAAATTTGGCCCCAAGTACGTACCTCGCCCTAAGCTTACGTATGAAAAAATTATCCCTGATGTCGAGCAAGCGATAGAAGGGCTTAGCGAGCTTAAAAAAGAGGCTTTTAGATGAAGAACAGTTTTTAAAATAAACAATGAAATTGCAAGATCGACGCAAGACGCAGTCTGGAAAAATATAAGAGAAAGTAAGCAATGGATGTGCGATAACGGTATAGTGCTTACAAGAGCTGACAAGTCAAAAAATATGGTCTTAATGAAGAGGGACACATATAAGGAGCTTTTAACGACGTACATAAGAGACACGGAATGCAAAAAAGCACACCCAAAGGCCTTGGAAAGGTTACAAGCAAGAATAAAACGTTTCTCTACGACAACTTTAGCTAAGCAACTAGGTATGACGAGAATAATAACTTCATCCCCAGCCATGCCGAGGCTATTCGGATTTGCTAAAACGCATAAATCTGAAAGAAGCTTGAGGCCAGTAGTAGATAAATGCTGTGCTCCTACGATATTATTAGAAAGGAAACTTAAGGAATTTATTAATACGAACATGCCTCCCCACATTTATAACGTAAAGCAACCATTAGAAGTGCTCCAGAAGTTGAAACAACTGAAAGTTAACGAAATAAGATACATGACGGTGCTCGATTTTAAGGCTATGTACCCTTCAATTAAGCTTGAACCATGCTTTTGTCACTTAAGAGATTTTTTACTGGGCAATATCGACAACGCAGCGAAGTTAAGAAAACAAATCCTAGAACTGGCGCATTTAGCTACATTCTCGTCAATTTTCGTTTTTGACGGTACTGCATACTCGCAACTTAGAGGAGTACCAATGGGTAGCCCGGTTTCAGGCTTACTGTGCGAGATGGTAATAAGATCTCTGGAAAATAGCGTACTGCAGAAGTATGAAGATAAAATGATAATGTATGCAAGGTACGTCGACGACGTATTGATTATTTGGAATGATAAACCAGACATACGACAATTTATTAGAGATATAAACAACAATAAGTATGGCTTGGAATTAGAACTAGAGCAGCAAGATCAAAAAAGAGTACACTTCTTGGATATAGAGGTTGAAATAGATGATAAAGAGCAAATTGTTACAAAAGTGTATAGAAAACCGACGTACGTTCCGGATTTGATACCATGGTCCTCGCATGACCCAACAAACTACAAACTAGCAGCGTTTAGAGCACTTATTAAACGAGCATACACTCATTGTAGCAGGATGTATGACACACGTAAAGAACTTGATTACATTGCAAAATTAGCAAGAGATGTAGGACTTAAGCAAAGTAAAGTAAAAGCCTTAATACAAGAAGCGGAAAAAGGATGCAATAAGACTAAAGATAAGAAAGAAAAAAAGGAGTTCACCGTAATGGAATACAGAGCACCGTTAAGTGGCATATACAGAAAAATAGGAGTAGAGAGCAAAAAGAAAATAGCATATAAGAGAAACACGACAATATTCCAAATGCTAAGAAATGACAAAACACCAATAGACAGGAGGCTAGTTCCAGGTGTGTACAGAATACCGTTGCATGATAAAAGGCTAAAGAAAGAGTTATATTATATAGGAGCCACAAAGAGATCATTAAGAGAAAGATTGAAGGAGCACGAAAAAAATATAAGATCTAAACAACCGATCACGGCTTTGGCCAATTATGCTATCGCGGATCCTGCAGAGATTACAATCGAATGGAGCAAGGCGGATATTGTACAAAAGATCGATAATATACGACATCTAAAGTATGCAGAGGCATGGCACATTTATAAATACAGAGAAAAGGGGCTTAATATAAATTTTCGAGAGTCAAGTAGAATAGCAACGGCATGGAGAGCGGCGGCATTATAAAGAGCTAATGGGCATGCGCGATCGAATATCTGAAGATTATAGAACGTGCGTGGTTCGAATTACCGTTGAGAAAGTTCAAATTTTTAAAATATTTTACATCAATCCTGAAGAAGGTCTATAAATTAGACCGAAAACGTTAGAGAACTGACAAAAGTAGACTGCATTTTAAAGGTATAGTGAAATGTAGCAATCCTGAAGAAGGTCTATAAATTAGACCGAAAACGTTAGAGAACTGACAAAAGTAGACTGCATTTTAAAGGTATAGTGAAATGTAGTAATCTAATATGGCACCACATATTATTCCAGCAGAGGCTTTTCAGCCTACACAATATGTTAATGCTGTCATTGCCACCCTCATCAGAAGAGCTTTCTTATTATCATCTTCACAAGCACTAGTGAATATTGAATTAAACAACATTAGTTTGTGGTACGCACTGCTGGTTTTTCGCATGCTAAATTTACACATGCTTAATATAGTAAAAAATCCCTATTTCCAAGCACTATGCTCTGCAACAAAAGGGCGTTTTCTGTGGTCCAAATTTCGTTGCCATACTTTGGACCCCTTTCTATATGTATTTGCCACATTTTTAAACAGGATAACCTTGTCCTGCCACTATCTCCACTTTCTAATCTACGTAAGCTCATTTGCAATGATCGGGACAAGTTTTCTACTCTTGAGAAGTCAGGGGTCTATGCTGTACCACTGGAGAATCTTGCTATGGGAGTAAACACAAGATACATTAGGGCCACGAGAAAAATGCTAGCTAGCCACGTAGCAGAACACCAAGAGGATGTTGTGAAGGGAACACTACAGAACTTACAGAAAAGGTACTTGAACAGGGTTACAGCCCACTATGGTCCCAAACAAGTATGCTCAAGAGCTGCAAAAATCGCAAACTCATTTTTATATGGGAGTCCCTTCTTATTAATACAGTGGTACCTCAGGATATGAAATTAATCCATTCCGAAACTGAGTTCGTATCGTGAAAATGTCGTAAGGTGAGTCATTTTTCCCCATATGATTACAGGTAACCCCCGTATAACACGGGAGTTACGTTCCAAAAAATTGCCATGTTATGCGAATCCGTGTTATACGAGACAAAGAACTAGTGCGAAAAGAGAGGGTTAGGTTCCAAAAATTAAAAAAACATGTTGTTAAATCCTTATTTAAATCGGATTTATTATTCATTTTTTTTCATAGGTAAAATACTTATCATTTAAGTAAATATTTTACTAGAGGATTATTCATTTTATATGATGATCTCAGCAAGAACATCATAAACTGGTAACAGTTTGTGAATGCGTTCGTTAATAACGGTCGCTCTGCAACGGAAGTGTGCTGCTGTTTGTAAGCATTTAGGAATGACGGTGAAAGAAAGATGGTGGCGCCCGCACTATCGATAGTATCGCGTGGAGGAATCTATAATTCTTAAATGAGCTTTTAGAGACAAAAGAAGGGTCCAAATTGTATAATTTAACCATTAAATGGATTATTTGTTGAAAGAGAATTCAAAGTAGCCACGAAAACAATTAGAATGCTCGCGCGGAGTTACGCGGAGGTATAGACCTAAAAGAACGCACCCTTTATTACATTTTATGTTGTACGATGGTTTTACCCAATTCCCGAACCGAGTTAGAGTGAACCCGTGCTATAGAAGTGCCATGTTATACGGGAGATGTTCCCAATTCTCGAACCGTGTTAGAGTGAATCCGTGCTATAGAAGTGCCGTGTTATACGGGGGTTACCTGTACATGTAAAACCAAATAATTCGTTTCAACACGAAAAATACACTCAAATTAAAGCTAAGTAGTGCATTAAAACAAAATAACTATAGTAAGGAAAACACTGAAAAATGAGTTTTGTAGTTGTAAATGTATAAATAACCATAATAGAATAATAATTGATAAAAAAAATGTAGTTTTATTTGCACTTTACCTTTGAGGATAGACGACGGTGGAGGTGTAAACTGGTGGCGGAAGAGAGGGAGAAACTTAACTACTAAAACTTAACGTATATAACATAATGTAACAATAACTTAAAAATATCTTAGAAAAGATTTTAAAAAAAAGTTATTGTAGTTTTATATATATTTTTATTTTAATTTTTATTCACTGATTTTTGCTTTCTTTCCTTCACTTCCACCAGAACTTTCACTGGATAGAGGTCGCTTAGTAAAATATCTATCCAAAGATGTTTGGCTTTGCTACTTTTTAAAATGTTTCTTAGGCAAATGTCATTACTTCAAGCAGCAATACGGCCAGTGTGAACCTTTTCGGGATGTTTCTTTTCAATAAAATTAGTCACTTTCTGAAAATATCTCGAGATTTCCTTTATCGAGCGAGATCCTTCCACGACAAAGCAAACGCGCGGACTGAGACCAATGAACAGAAGTGAATAAAAAATGGCGCTGCGAACTAATGTAACGTCGTATGGTGAGTTTTTGTTCGTATTGTGGAGCAAAAATATGTTCGAATTTCATGTCGTACCCTGAAAATTTCGTATGTTGGGGCAATCGTATCCTGAAGTACCACTGTACCTTGGATACATGCAACACTCCCACTCTTGGCCTGCCCAATGTATGTGTCACACTGTATGAGCGGTTAAACAACTATCACTATCCTCCATCATACGTATAACATGAGTCTAGATCCATGTGTGCACTGCTTTGTATATTACATAACTTACTGCTCGTTTAATTTCGAACATATTTGAATATTTGTTGCTTGTTCGTAACAGTCTTGTCAAAAGTTTTAATTTTGAATTATATGCATTCTGCTCTTCATCAAATTATTTCTGTTTGTTTTTATTAAATTTCTATATTCGCCTGATGATGATGACCTTAGGATCATCAAAAGTACTTGCGATAAATGCACATGTAATGCCGATCTCAGTGATTTCCCCGTCCAACTATGCAGTATTTGGCGTGAATATCAACCCAGTGATTATTAAAAAATTCACATCCCTGCACCAGGAACTAGCTAGACATTTAACTCATATCATCAACAATCCACAAGACATGCCAGATTTTCTTACACAGGGCATCACCTACATGACACAAAAAACAATAACACCAAAAGACCTGCGTAGTACAGATCAATTACATGTCTTCCTACACTTTACAAGATTCTTACCTCTTGCATTGTAAACAAAATATACAATCGTATTGATGATTCTTACAGAACAACAAAAAGGCTACCATAGAAATCATAAAGGTTGCAATGAACAACAACTCATTGATTCTGTTATCCTATGGCAAGTCCATAAGCAACACAGAAACATACACATGGCATACATAGATTATAGAAAAGCATTCAATGGGGTCCCACACACTTGGCTGCTGCACACACTTTGCATCTACAAAGTCCATCTCCAACTCATTAGTTTCTTTGGCTTTACCATGCTCCACTGAAGAACAACATTACATCCTAACCTCCATAACACTCATATAAAAACAAACCAAATACACATCAAGTAAGGAATTTTTCAAGAAGTTTCCTTGTGTCCTCTTCAGCACTTAACCCTTTATCTAACATATTAAACAAAACACAATATGGCTACAATATCAGACACAACAAAACAACACTTCACATTATTGCACCTTGTATACATGAACAATATCAAACTTCACATCTACACAGAATCAGTTTCATCATCTCTTACAAACTACACATACATACTCAAATGACATACAAATGGAGTTTGGTCTAGAAATGCAAAACACTCCATATTGAAAAAAAGGAGTGCTGAAGAAAGATTTTATTTTCAGAAGTGGAGATATTATATGGAAGAGGACAAATTTTACATATAGGATTCCAACAGATGAAACCTACAGAACATGAACAGATAAAAACAAAGATTAACTCTTGAATGCCAGAACAGATTTCATGCAGTACTATGAACACACCTAAATGCAAAACATACTATTGAAGCTATTAATACATATATTGTCCCTGTACTCACTCATTCTAAAGTTATACACTGAACATGCACAGATCTTGAGCACTTCCAAAGGAAAACACCACCACCACTTACTAAACATAAACAATATCATCCAAAATCATCCATATAAAGACTAACTCTTGCTTGTAAAGAAGATGACTATGGCCTGACTAATAGTTACCCCCTGCATTACAAACAAGTTCTGACACCATGAGAGTTTTTCCTCAAAAAACAAGAAACATCAAGATTACATAAAGCTATAATTCTGGCAGACAGTAACCATACACCTTTAAACTTACATTATAAAGTTTAAAGTTACATTCATATTTTAAAGTGAAAATTACAGTTTAAGGAAAAAAATTTACACTGATACCACTACGATTCAAAACACCAACCTCATGATCATGAAATCACTACACCACCACCACCACCACCACCGAATAAAAACGGCCAGCTGAGTGATATTTCGAATATCTGTACTTTCATCAATTGCAATAGAGTAGGCTTGAAATGTTGATATTGTTGAATTATGCTTATTTCTCAAATTTTCGGCTATTTCATCAACTCTGCTAGCTACAGTATTTCGACTTAAACTTACACTTTTAAATTTTTTTATTTTTGCTGGACATAATACTTCCGCCGCTTTAATTAAGCATTCACTAATAAATTCCCCTTCGGTAAATGGTTTTGATCTACTTGCGATTAAATGTGATAATATATAACTAACTTTTACAGCAGCTGTATTGTCTTCAACAGATTTAGTGAATAAACTTTGTTGTTTTTGAAGAATTGATTTCAATTCCGACAATTTGTCTTCACAAAGTTTTTCAATGTATTGGTCATAATTTCTTTTATGATTTCTATCATAGTGCCTTTTAATATTATATTCCTTAGGAACTGAAATAGTGTTTTTACATATCAAGCATAATATTTTATTCTTGTTTTGGACACAAAAATATTGCAATTCCCATTTTTCTTGAAAATTACGATGTTCCTCTTCAATTGATCTTTTCTTACTCATTGTTCTTGAAGTTTGATTATATTTTTATTAAATAAATTT